AGCAATGCTGACCACACAGTAAGAAAAGGCACATGTCCTGACTGCTGGTGCCTGCTTAGGCACTGTGCTAAAAGCGTTCACGCACCCCATCAGGTTTTTACTTTTTGAAGGGAAACTCTTTCTTCGGCTAAGGAAACTAAGACAGGAAGAAGCGAAGTCCCTTGTCTAAGCAGGACTTAGAGAGCAAGAAGCAGGGCCCAGGGCTGAGCTGTGGTCATCTAATTTAGCACTTACCCTTCTGTTTCAGCCAGTCTCAGCTGCTGTAACGCTCTGGGGTTCTGTAGCCACTGGTCCTTTCAGGCAAAGTCGCATTCCAGCCCTTTCTAGAGACTCAAACTCTTTCTCTCACAGAGTGGAAATGAAACCCAAGGTTTGTATGTATATGTAGAATGTATTTCTGAAGCCACAATATTTGAACTGGAAAGCCCGGAGGTGCCACATATGGGAATATTTAGCAGGTACGGGTGCCTCAGATTTCTCATTGGTGATGAGGAACATCAGTTGTATCCGAATCCCCAAGGAAGGGACATATACCGCAGCTGTCAAATGGGATTTCTATTTATCCTGTAGACTGTCCAAGAAGTCCTTGATGAGGGGTGCAGACTACACTTATCTGTGGGGAGAAGGACGAATGTTCAGATTGTTGTTGCGGAATATGCTGCTTGAGTGGCTGTAGATTCCTCTCCGATACCCATGACGTCACTAGCACTGAGTACTTAGCTAGGTCTCCAGCTGAGGGAGAAATAGTATTCCCCAGAAAAGCACACCAATTGCTTAGCCAATACCAAATAGTCAGCCCTGAAAATATACATACAAGTAGCATCATACAGACTAAGCAATAAAAAAAATAATGAAAAGAGGAGGCCATGCATTCAAAAGACACCAAAGAGGGGTATGTGGGTATGTAAGAAGAGAGAGGAAATGGAATAGAGAAAGGTTGCAATTATACCACAGTCTCAAAAAAAGAATGAAAATATTTGTTAGGGAAAATAACCAATATTAATGGCACCCCAGAGGACTTTTACAATTTATGCTCCCCTTTGTAATAGAGGAGAGCTTAAGTCTAACTAAGAATCTAACTAACAACATGAGTTCAGCTTAGATTGTTAGACGCTTAAATTTTATTCATTTATTTTTTGTGGTGCTAGGGATGGAACTCAGACATACTACATAAACATGCTGTCACTCTGATAAACCTATCTCCTCATCTTCTGGATATACTGCAGTACCTCGTGGTGTTTTATATTAACATTTTTGCTATAAGTTGAGTTTGTACATACTATATGTCATATGGCTAGTTAGATAGCTCCATGTATAAATTAGATATTCAAATCATTCTCTTGTTTTCTTTCATTTTCTCAATTTTCCACTAATTTGAATTGTGCTTAAATATTCTGATTTGATTTCTGAGACAGATGATAAACAGACAGACATAAAGGCAGATAGATAGGTATTTAGATAGATGATTTCTATATAAATAGATGGATAGATAGATAGATGGAATCTTAGATGAATAATGATTCTTAAATTTGTTCTAATTTGATTTTATGTTTTCTGTAGGTTGTCTATGCACAAAAAAAATTTTTAACATGATATAATCCAATTGGTGAATTTTTGCTTTCATTTTCTGTGTTTTTACGGAAACATAGAAACAAACAAACAAATACAGCACATAGAAGACCAGCACTGGTTCAAACCAGACAAAAATCCCAGCACACAGAGAGAGAAGTCCTACCCTTAATGAAGAAGCTATTTGCAATTGATACTTTCTAGGAGGAGAAAATCATTTTTTTGTTGTTGTTGTTTTCAAACAGGTGTCACTGGGTTTATTAATGTCAGGGCAGGCCCCAGGCACAGACAGGCACAGCACAGACTCCATGTTTTTTAGTTTAGTTTTGTTTATTTGTTTTATGAGCTTTTGCATTGTTTTTTGTTTGTTAGTTTTGATTCCTTTTTTATTGTTGTTGTTCTTTATGTGAAAGAAAAGAAGCATGAAATTGAGTGAGTAGGGAGGTGGGGAGGATCTAGAAGGATTGGGGGAGAGAAAAGAATCTATTCAAAATATACCATATGAAGGAGAAGAGGAAGAAAAAGAAAAGTCTGTCCAGACAAATGTGAGCATGTTTCTTCTACACTGCTTCTGCAAGTTTTATGTCTTCCATTTGAGTTTTTTGTTGTTGTTATTATTTTGTATCCATTTTGAGTTGTTTTCTGTAAACGAGAGTCAGAGTTCTAGTTTTTTGCATATGAATATCCAGCCTTTTACTTAATAGGCATCATCTCTCCCTAATACATGTTTCTTTTCTTTCTGTTTGTTGAGATGGGTTATCATTCTTCGTCCTAGGATGTCCTGGGATTCACAGTCTTCCTGAGTCAGACCTCTGGGCCTTGGGATTATAGATGTGTGCCATCATGCCAGGCTCATTGTGAAAAAAGCCACTCAGCTATAAATACACACCTTTAATCCTGATTTCTCTGGTAAGTGGATTAAAAGGTCAAAGGTAATATACATAATCATAGAACTCACAGAAGAGAGCATACCAGATAGCTTTTTAGACAAAGTGTTAAACACATGATCCAGAAAAGCAGAAAATGATAAGCTATGCTTCCTTAAAGTTAAAAATTTCTACAGAAAGTCCTGGCGAAGCAACAAATGCAGGTGTGGGGACAGGAAGGGAGTTTACTCGTGGCAGGAGTGTAACAAATACTACAGCCATTATGGAAACCAGCCTAGAGGGTCCTCAAAAAGATAAAGTCACCCTGTGACTCAGCCATATCACTGCTGGGAGTATCCAGCTGCTGGAATGCATGCTCTGCAGAGAGATGCTTGCCCGTCATGCTCATCACTGCACAATGTTCACAAGAACAAAGAAATGGAATCATCCTAGGTGAACGGATAATGGAAATGTCTCTCACACACAATGGAATTTTATAATAAAATTATATTCAAATATACATAATATATAATATATATTAGTGCATATACTAATATATTATATAACATAATATATGCACCCACACAGAGAAAGGGGGTTTATTAGAATGAGTTACAGGCTGTGGTCTGGCTAGTACAATAATGGCTGCCTATAAATGGAAGGTCCAAGAATCCAGTAGTTGTTCAGTCCATGAGTCTGCACGTCTCAGCTGGTCTTTAGCATGCTCCTGAAGAAGTAGGCTCTAATTGCAGTGAAGGAATAGACTTGCCAGCCGAGCGAGAGTGAGAGCAAGCAGGCAGAGAAAGCGCCATTTTTCCATGTCCCGATACAGCCTGTCAGCAGAAGGTGTGGGCCAGATTAAAGGCCGATATCTTTCCACCTACGGGATCTGGGTTAGTAGTCTGTCTTCCCACTTCAAATAATTTAAGGAAAAATCTCTCCCACTGAGTTCACCAAGAATAGCCATTACAATCCGGGAAGCATTATATCAAGTAAAGTGACACAGACTGAGAAAGCCCCGGATTGCATATTCTGTCTCACATGTGAATCCTAGCTTGTGAAGTTTCTATGTGTGGATGTCAGTGGGGGCGAGTGTGAGTACAGGCGTGACACTCAAAAAGGGATCCATGAGAGGGTGGGAGGAGAGGAAAGAGGTGCTGGGGGAGTGTTGGCGGGAGCAATTGGTCAATATGACACGAGAAGTGAGAGGAAGACTATGTGAGGGATGGTAGAATACAGGGAAGGCAGAGGAATGGGAGAGAAAAGGGGCAGGAGAATCAGCAGATTTTGTCTGGAAACTAGCATAATAAAACCTACTATTGTATGAACTAGTCAAAATATTCTTTAGTTTGTAAATACTATCAAGAGAATAAAAACAGAAGGCAAAGGCTGGGAGATATTTATATAAAATGTATTTTCTAAAAGGCTGTTATCCAAAATATATAAAGGCTGTTATCCAAAATATATAAAGAACATATATATATATATAAAGAACTCTTAAGACTCAACAATAAGAAAAATAAACCCAAGCAAAAACTGAGCCAAAAATCTAAGCAGACATTTCACCAAAGAAGAGACACAAATAGTTAATGAAAATATGAAAAGATGGTCCACTTCAGGTGCTACCAGAGAAATGCAAATTGAGAAACAAAACACACAACAGTTAAAATAACCAAGCAGGGTTGACCCAGGAGAAGTGAGGCGGTGTGGTGGAATCAAAATACACTGTAGGAAATTCTTGAAGGATTAACAAAAAATAACAAATCCCCAAACATGAAATATTCACCCGCATACATTCATATCCTCAATAGTCATTGCTTGGAGGTGTGCCCTCGAGATAGTGAAATCAAGTTGAAACATTCTGAGATTAGCCCCAACATCTGAAGGAAGCCTCATGGGTCCCCTGTCCCCTTGGAGTCAGTTCTGCTAATTACGACTCAAATTAGAAGAATTTAGAGAGATCACAGAGCAAACACCCCTGAGAGGTAGTCACACTGGGACCCAGGGGTTAGTGGGAAAATAGGGAGTTGAGGCCAGAGGAGGGAGATGCAGTACCGTTTCGAGCAGGTGGTTAGTCCAGTCTTCATTTCCTGTTACACTTACAGCTAGCCAGCCTCAGTAGGGAAGAAGAGAGAAGTGGAACTCGGGGAGAGAGGCTGACTTGGGGATAATTTGCAGTTGTGTGAATGTCAGCTTCCAGAGAAAGCTAGAAGCAAGGGCTTGGGTGTGGAGGTGAGATGGAAGAAGCTGCCCTCCCACCTTGCCAAAGAGTCGTGCACGTCTCTTTTCTCTTGTAATTTCCAACATTTCTTGAGTTAGTAACTCCCAAGATCCAACCGGAACCTGAATCTGGTTTTTGGTTTTAGATCCATCTACTTTGACTTTCAGGTCACCTACAACACAGGTTTTGGAGAAAGCAAAATCCCCAGCATTACAAAAAGAACCATTTATTCTCATCATCATATTTCAGGAACACGGAATGAAGACTTACTGGGTTCTGGTGATTTGGATCACTGAAGTAGAAAGCGTTAAGTAACATTCTCGAATATAACTGGATCCAAATCAATGGAAAGAGTTAACCAAAGCAGTAGTGTCTCTGAGTTCATACTCCTGGGACTCTCCTCTAGGGCCGAGGACCAAAAGCCACTCTTTATTCTCTTCCTCGCCATTTATCTGATCACCATAGCAGGGAACCTGCTCATCATCCTGGTCATCCGCTCTGACCCTCATCTCCAGACTCCCATGTATTTTTTCTTGAGTTTTCTGTCTTTAACTGACATTTGCTTCACAACAACCATTGTCCCCAAGATGCTGGCGAATTTTCTGTCAGAAAGAAAGACCATCTCCTATGCTGGATGCCTGACGCAAATGTATTTTCTCTACGCCTTGGGCAACACTGATAGCTGTCTTCTGGCAGTAATGGCCTTTGACCGCTATGTGGCCATCTGCAACCCCTTCCACTATGTCACCATCATGAGCCATCAGCGATGCGTCCTCCTGGTGACCTTCTCTTGCTCCCTTCCTCACCTCCACTCGCTTCTGCACACCCTCTTACTGAATCTCCTGACCTTTTGCAACTCCAATGTTATTCACCACTTCCTCTGTGACCTCAGTCCCCTGATGAAACTATCCTGTTCCTCCACCTTTGTCAATGAGATTGTGATAGTGACCGAAGGCACCCTTGTTTTGGTGACGCCCTTCCTATGCATTGCCTTCTCCTACCTAAGAATCCTCACTACCGTTCTCAGGATTCCTTCTGCTGCTGGGAAACGCAAGACCTTTTCCACCTGTGGGTCTCACCTCACCGTGGTCACCCTCTTTTACGGAAGCATCTTCTACGTGTATTTGCAGCCTGTGGCAACATACACTGCCAAGGACCATATAGCAACAATTGTCTACACAGTCTTGTCATCCTTGCTAAACCCTTTCATCTACAGCTTAAGGAACAAAGACCTCAAGCAGGGTCTGAGGAAGCTCATAACCAGAAGAAGCATCTAAGAAGCTTCCTCTTGACAAACTCCCAAGTCTGCTGCGCTTGGACCTGGCTTGTTTCTGCTGTTCTCAGTAATCAGGATCTGAGGTTAGCACTTTAAAAGTATGTGCAACGAGGCTATGGGGGACAGTTATTTCCACAGATGTAATCCTTGATGCCTATCAGTTATCCCTGCACCCGTGTGAGCAGGAGGCTCTGATGCTCTATTTCTCCCTTCCCCCTCTTCACACTCTCTGTGTACCCATCTTCCAAAAACTGCTTCAGACTAATCTTTTACTCTCAATGTTTTTCCTGAGCCAGTTTCTCACTGTTTATTAGACTGGTCCTCCAAAATTCCACACGCTTCAAAGTATCACTTACATTTACATGACTTGTGGAAGTTGAATGCTTTTGCAGACTGGAGATAAGGATGAAGAAAGAGTGGGTAGAATGAAGAGAGTGGTGATTGCATTTTAGTTATTTTTTTTTTCATTTTGGGAAAATTCCATGGTGTTTTTTTTTTTTCCTCGCTGAAATTTTTTTTTCCCTAAATTTGATTTTTGTCCCCACTTTTTCTTCCAACAGATTTAGTGTGTCTGGTTTTATGTTGAGATCTTTCATCCACTTGGACTTTAATTTTGTGCAGGATGATAGATATGGGTCTATTTGCATTTTTTTTTTACAGGTGGATATCCAGTTAGATCAGCACCATTTGTTGAAGATGCTGTCTTTTTCCATTGTATGGTTTTGGCAGTTTTGTCAAAAATCAGTTGCCCGATGTATGTGGGTTTATTTCTGGGTCTTTGATTTGATTTCATTGATCCACCAGTCTGTTTCTATGCCAGTACCATGCAGTTTTTATTACTGTTGCTCTATAGTACAGCTTGAGATCAGAGATAGAGATAACTCCAGAAGATCTTTTATTGTAGAGGATTGTTTTAGCTATTCTGGGTTTTTTGTTATTCCATATAAAGTTAGGATTTTTCTTTCAAGGTCTGTAAAGAATTGTGTTGGTATTTTGATGGGAATTGCATTGAATCTGTAGATTGCTTTTGGTAAGATGGCCATTTTTACTATGTTAATCCTGCCAAGCCATGAGCATGAGAAATCTTTCCATCTTCTGATATCTTCTTCAACTTCTTTCTTCAGAAACTTGAAGGTTTTTTTTTCATACAAGTCTTTCACTTGGTTGGTTAGATACTTTATGGTTTTTTAGTGGCTATTGTGAAGGGTTTTGTTTCCCTAATCTTTTAAAAATTTTCTCTAAATCATATTACTGTGGTTTTAGTTCCCTTTAATTTTTCTTATACTTTAACATATAATTAAAATTGCTAATAACAGAAAACAGGAATAATAGCTTGGAAATTATCTATTCCAGCTGAGGAATATAGGAAACAATATGTGTATAATTGTTGCTTATTCTAGAAATTTATACTCACAGGATTATAATGTAGCATTATCATCAGAAACGTATACTGGCTAATACTGCTTTAAGTATGTGCCGAATACTAGTATGTTTTGATACATGCTAAGATGTTCCATGAACCTCAGTCTCAAACAGAAGAAATAGCGGCAATTTAAAATATTAAATGTCCAGAAATAAAGATGTGGTTGATTCCATAGAATACCATTGCATACCGTAAGTTTAAAGAAGCAAATGTACTTTTATTGCTGCCTTGCAAAACTTGTGGACGAGCATGAAGATGTGGACCAAAGTAGGGTATGTGGGTCCGCAACTTTAATACCGTTGCCCAGAGGACAGAGAAGGTGGGTCTCCATGAGTTCGAGGCCAGCCAAGTACATACAGTTCCAAGCTAGACAAGGCTATATAGTGAGATCTTGTCTCAAAAAAGAGAAAAAAAAGATGTGGAACAAAATGAATATGCTTGGGTAAGAGGACAGTGTGTGTGTGTGTGTGTGTGTGTGTGTGTGTGTGTGTGTGTGTGTGTACAAAGTAGGGCACTTCTGCTTTCCTATATCCATTCATAATGTTTAAATTTGTTCAAATAAAATCTGTTGTTCATGGAGTTTGAAATTATCTATGCGTAAGATGGTCAATGCAGCAGTGAGAGACTAAACAATCTACCAGCTGAAAATAAGCTTTCAAAGTGCTTGCATATCTGAACACATTATTTGGCACATTGGCTTCAGGCAGAAAACGTGATAACTCAGTAAGAGACAATGGTAGGTGTCAAAACGTGTCTTTGGAGTATTTATTTTATTTTAATTTTTATTCAAAATTTTACTTTATTTCTTAGGAAGTTCATACACATGTGCAATGTATTTAAATCAAACCCATCCATCACTGCCCCAGTTTCTATCCCCACAGACTCTTCCAAGCCCCAACTTCATTTCCTGTTTTTACAACCCACTGAGTCCAGTCAGAGATGCCTACAAGTGTGAGGGTATATGGTTATTCTCTTGGAGCATGGACAACCTATCAGAAACCACATCCCTAAAGAAAATGGACTCTCCATGAATGGTCCTTGGTTGGAGTATCAGTCTCAGAAAAGACCCCTGTGCACAGATTTTTTTGGTTCTGTTGAGCTTCTTGGGGAGCTCCTGTCCTCTCCAGGTCTTTCTATCTCTCCCTTCTTCCATAAGATTCCCTGCACCCTGCCCAAAGTTTGGCTATGAGTCTCAGCATCTGCTTTGATACCCTGCTGGGTGGAGTCTTTCAGAGGCCCTCTGTGGTAGGCTCCTGTGCCCTTCCCTGTTTTCTCCCTCTTTTGATGTCCATCCTCTTTGCCTTTCTGAATGAGGATTGATCATCTTACTCAGGCTCCTCTTTCTCGCTTAGCTTCCTTAGGTGTACAGATTTTAGTATGTTTATCCTATATTATATGCCTAATATTCACTTATGAGTATATACCCTGTGTGTCTTTCTGCTTCTGGGATACCTCACTCAGGATGATCTTTTCCAGTTCTCACCATTTACCTGCAAATTTCATGATTTCCTTGTTTTTTATTGCTGAGTAATATTCCATTGTGTAGATGTACCACAATTTCTGTATCCATTCCTCAGTTGAGGGGCATCTGGGTTGTTTCCAGGTTCTGGCTACTATGAATAAAGCTGCTACAAACATGGTTGAGTAAATGGCCTTGTATACTTGAGCATATTTTGGATATATGACTAGCAGTGGTATAGCTGGATCTTGAGGAAGCATTATTCCTAACTGTCTGAGAAAGCACCAGATTGATTTCCAAAGTGGCTGTACCAGTTTACATTCCCACCAGCAATGGAGGAGGGTTCCCCTTTCTCTGAATCCTCTCCAGCATGTGTTGTCACTTGAGTTTTTCATCTTAGCCATTCTGATGGGTGTAAGGTCATTTTGATTTGCATTTCCCTGATGACTAAGGATGTTGAGCATTTTTCAGTGGACTGGGAGAGGGACATGGGTGGGGAAGAGGGAGGGAGCTACAGGGGGATACAAAGTGAATAAACTGTAATTAATAAAAATTAAAATTAAAAAAAAGGAGAAAAAGAGGCTATGGTGGAACTCATACTGCAAAGCATAAGATTTTTTTCTCCATTAATTAATTAATTTAATTAACTTTACATGCTGGTCAAAGCCACCCCTTCTCTCCTTCCAGTCCTTCCCCTTAATGCCCCTCCCCCTCCTCTCCTCTCCCTCTCCTCAGAACAGTGGAGTACCACCCCACCCTAGCCCATCGAGTCGCTGCCGGACTAAGCATAGGGTCTGATAATCAACAGCTGTACAGCATTTACTCAAGGAATTCTATAAACTGGTTTCTACTGACTGCTATCAAAGCCCATGCTAGTAGCATCCTATTATTCTAACTCCTGATGCCATCCCGCTTAGTTTGGTATCATATGGCATTAATTGGGTAAAGGAGCATTTATTTCACGTTAGGGATTCAACTGACTTTTATTTTTCAAAGAAGCAAGCTTTTTCTGAACATAAACAACATCTTGCACACTGAAACTGTTAGTAATAAGTTGTGTATGTATATGTGTATAAAATTAATTTATTTATATCTCTAGATGAAAGGGATTTATTTTGACAATTATTAAGGTCATAATTATATTGCCACATACTTGGAGAGGACCTAGACCCCCTGTTCAAAGGAAGCCCATTGGCTGCTTAGGTTCCAAGTGGGTTCCCTAGTACAGGGGCTGTCTCTGGCATGAACTCAGTGGCTGGCTCTTTGATTAACTCTCCCTGTGGGGGGAGGTGCAACCTTGCCAGGCCACAGAGGAAGATGATGCAGCCAGCCTTAATGAGACCTGATACGCTAGGATCAGATAGGAGGGGAGGAGGTTCTCCCCTATCAGTGAACTAGAGGGAGAAGAGGGACGGGGGAGGGGGGAGGTTGGGACTAGGAGGAGACAAGGGAGTGGGCTGCAGTGGGGATACAAAGTGAATAAATTATAAGAAATAAATATATAAATTAAATTAAATTAAAAAGAAGAAAAAAGTTTAAAAAAGAAAAAATATATAAAATAACAAAATTCTTGTCAGGAAATGACATCCCCTCCTCACCAGTCTTACCAGGCAGCACTTAGATGCTGCTCTATTGTCGGAAGACATGTCAGGTGCCTCCCGGAGCAGCCTGACGCTCTGCCATGTGGGGTGAGAGCCAGCCGCCTCCGACAATGAGGGAAGTGGAGTCCAGAGAATTTTAGTCACTAGCTATATACTAGTAAGAAATGAGCACAGGCTAAAATTCTTTCCTTTACTAACAGGCAGGGAGATTTAAAGTAAAAGCACAATGAGACACAACTTGTGGTTTACTACACTTGCAAAAAATCTTTAATTACCAAGTGCTGTGTGACAGACAGAATAATACACATGAGCATACACTGAGAAGCTTAAAGCAGAATGTGGATATCTCGTCAAAAGTCAGAGACTGTGTATTCAGAACAGTTTTTGGCTTATTGAAAATGCTGAGCAGAAAGTGTCTGTATATGTCTTTCTTCCCACCCACAGCCAGTATTGTGAGTTTTGTTAACATTTGGTTCCTCAAGTCTAGAGATTGTTACATGAGTCTATCACTCAATGAT